TACCCTACCCTACCCTACCCCACCCTACCATACTCTACCCTACCCTACCTTACCCTTGCCAGTTACCCTCTGAGGAGCTGTCTGTGTTTGCTCTGCACAGGCGATGAACTTCCTTGTCTGGAAGGAGCTCGGTGTTTGAAGCTGGATGACCTCAAAGACCAGGACGAAGACTTCCTCTCACCAAAAAAGTCCCTCAGGGACTTCGAGAGTGGGCAGGGGACAACGTAAGAGTAAAAAACACATGGCAAAGTGGTCTCTCTCTCACACACACATGCACACACACCTCACCCAGCCCTAACCTTTACCATAAGCAACCAAACCAGACTTGGCATTTTTACTTTTTTGATTGCATTCACAGATCTTTGTGGAGACCTGAAATATGGTCCCCACAACATAAAAAAAAGGTTTTTATTACATTGTGGGGGACATTTGGTCCCCATAATGTAATATAAGCCTAATCCACACACACATAAACACACACACTCACACGCACATGCTTGTATTCATATCTCTGTGGGGATTGTCCATTTATTTCTATGGGCAAAACCCTAATCCCATCACTGACACCCTAACCCCCACACAGCCCTAACCTTAACCATAAGTAACCAAACAAAATACATGATTTTTGACATTTTTAATTTTTTGATTGCAGTCACAGATTTTTATTAAATTTAGATTTCCTTTGTGGGGATTGAAAAAAAGGTTCCCACAACAGGTTTTTAATCAGAATGTGGGGAAAATCTGGTCCCTACAATGTAATAATTAAAAAAACACACAAACACACTCACACTGTACAACTATAATCTCAAAATCCGACGCAAAGTCAAAAACAAACAAGTGAATTTGGGTACTTTTTTGGATATATTTAGACTTTTTGAAGATTAGATAGCTATTTCTTGGGGAACATCTATTTTTATCTCTTTTCAAGTTTTTTCAGTATGATTTTCTAACAAAATATGTTCCAATAAAAAATCCTTTCTACTCTCACCTGTACTCATACACAGCTGAGATGTACTCATGTACTCATACACAGCTGAGATGTACTCATGTACTCATACACAGCTGAGATGTACTCATGTACTCATACACAGCTGAGATGTATACATATTATGAATTTCATACTTGATGTATTTTTGTTAGGTGCCTAATGATGCATGGTTGCTTCTGTGGGCAAGGGGGTAGTTCTTTTTTGTCCTTGCTCGTGACAGGCCATACTCTCCAGCTATACCCAGGATTCCCTGCGTGTCCCCAGAGACTGTCATGCTGGATCAGGTAATGTCCTTTTAAAGCTGACTTCAAAACGAGCGTGATCTTTGCTGTGACCTCCATGAGAAACTGGCTCTGGCTCTTTCCAGAAAACTAGTTACTAGTTTAGTTCTTTGTAGTAATTATTTGGCTCTGGTACCCTTCTGGGGGCCCTGGTACTCAGTTACCAGACTATCACAGCTTAGAGGTCACGCTGTTCACTTTCCAAAGGATCACATCATCTTCAATGGTGCCTCACTGCCAGTCGCATATACTGTATGCATAAACTGAATGTCTTATGTTTAATTTCATTTTGTGAAGCCATACATTATGAAGCTGCATCGTCATTCATACTGAATGCTGATATTATGGGTGTCCCCAACAGCACATCCCTGCTCCTCTGCCCAAGGAGTATGATGACGACTCCCTGATCCCCAGCAGCCCGGCCACAGAGACCTCCGACAACGTCAGCCCCGTGGCCAGCCCAGTTCACACCGGGTCAGAACCAATGGGGGCTGGGCTCCCCGTGCTCATTAGGAACAGTGCTCTGAGGTGCACTGATGGACTGGCATAGTCACAGTGCCCCGAATCTCTAGTGTCTTTGCTTGCTTCCTCAGCCCCAGTATGAAATTATTAGATGGATGGAAGGACGGATGGAGGGATGAAAGACAAGATAGACATTTGCTCTTTTAAAAATCAGTATGAATTACAAATCTGTGCAAAATAGCCAGACAGGATGATAGGTGAAGGAGAAGTGTCATAGCATATGAAAGGTCTGAGTGTGTCTGTGCCGGGTTCGAGGCTGACTGTGTCGGTGTGATGGGCAGGTTCCTCGTCAGCTTCATGGTGGACGCCCGCGGGGGGTCCATGCGCGGCAGCCGCCATAATGGGCTGCGTGTGATCATCCCACCGCGCACATGCGCAGCCCCCACGCGCATCACCTGCCGCCTGGTCAAGCCCCAGAAGTTGAAAACACCGCCCCCGCTGGTGGAAGGGGAAGGGCTGGCTAGCCGCATTATCTCCCTGGGCCCGTCCAGCATGCAGTTTCTGGGGTGAGGCTGTGCGTGTGCGTGTGCGTGTGCGTGTGCGTGTCTGTGTGCATGTCTGACGTGTTCGCCCCCCCCCGCCGGTTCAGGCCTGTGATCGTGGAGATCCCTCACTTCGCGGCTTTGGGTCGGGGCGACCGGGAGCTCGTCATCCTGCGCAGCGAGAACGGTTCCGTCTGGAAGGAGCACCGCAATCGCTATGGAGACGATGTGCTGGAAACCATCCTGAATGGCATGGATGAAGGTGAGGAGCAGCCAGCAACAGCTACAGTTGGTGGGGGGGCAGTGACCGCACATGGGCGTAGTTCACACATCTGTGGTTCTTCTGCCAGACCTGGAGAGCCAAGAGGAACTGGAGAAGAAGCGAATCCGTCGGATCATCTCCACCGACTTCCCTCTTTACTTTGCTGTGGTGTCACGTGTACAGCAGGAGAGTGACCTCATTGGACCAGAGGGAGGTCAGCTGACAAGCAAGCTGATGCCAATGGTCCAGGCCACGTTCCCAGATTCTGCTGTTACCAAGAAAGTCCGTCTGGGGCTGCAGGTGAGAAGCGAGGATGAGGAAGGTGAAATGGAAAAGTGTGTGTGTGTGTGGGAGAGCTGTGTGTGTGTGTGTTTGGGAGAGCTGTGTGTGTGTGGGAGAGCTGTGTGTGTGTGTGTGTCTGTGTGTGTGAGAGAGCTGTGCATGTGTGTCTGTGTGCATGTGTGTGTGTGTGTGGGAGAGCTGTGCATGTGTGTCTGTGTGCATGTGTGTGTGTGTGTG